GGGCCGATCCGAGCCGGAGCGCTGTAGGTCTCACATTCTGCGCTGCTTGTTTTTCTGAACGGTTTCCTCAAACCTCAGCACTTCACACGAGTCGAGCGACGGATCAGGCAGCGGACAGCTCAGAGCGACTTTACTGCGCTTTACAGTCAGACAGATTGAGGGGTTTCACACAATGAAACATTTCTGAAAGACGTATCAAAATTAAGTGAGTTTTTGTTTAAAACAAGAACAAATGTCTGCCAAAGGAGTCAGAAAAATAACTTTATTATACCAACTCCATTTTGATAATTTCTAGTAAATTTCACAAATAATTGCAAAGAAACGGCAACTAACACATTGAATAAAATGTGAAATTTTAAAGTAGAAAGACTGAAAGAGTATTTTCTTGTAAAACATATTTCGATTATCTTTGTTTTATTGACAAGTATGAAATGTTTTTTTTTAAAGTGCATCTATCAATCACTCACTGAAGACTAATGTGAATGTTTTAATGTTAATAATACAGCCGGACGTTCAAAAGAAAAAGAGGTAAAAAAAAAATGTGTATTATTTTTATTTTATTTTACATTGGTATTTTTTTTATTAATTTGTACTATTTGTAATTAAAAAAAATACTTTTTTGTTTTTTATTTGATTTTACAAAGTTCTTTTTTATTCATATTTAATATATATACACTGAACAAAATTATAAACGCAACACTTTTGTTTTTGCCCCCATTTTTCATGAGCTGAACTCAAAGATCTAAGACTTTTTCTATGTACACAAAAGGCCTATTTCTCTCAAATAACAAAAGTGTTGCATTTATAATTTTGTTCAGTGTATATATACGTATATATATATTTTTATTTTATTTTACAATGAATTTGAAGATAATAGCAAATGTTTTAATGTTAGTAATACAGCCGAACCTTCAGCAGAAACATAAATGTGAACATAAAGCGGAAAATATTTTTATTCTATTTTATTTTACAATCAAATTTGAAGTGAAAAATCAAAATTAAGTGAGTTTATGCTTAAAATATGTAAGAATATCTGCCAATGGAAAATTTAAATTTTTTCTGATTCTATTGGCAGATACTTTGTTCTAGTTTAAAGCAAAAGCTCACTTAAGTTTGATTAATTTCTCAGAAAACAAGACTTAATATCTTCAGTCATTTTGCTTCTCCATTAAATGTATCTTGATTTATGAATGTTTAGATATTTGCACTGGAAAACAAGACAAGAACACTTAGGAAGAACATCAGTTTTTGTAGTGATAGCTGCCATCTGAAAAGCTCTCAAGCCAAAGCAGTAAACCGGACTGATCTGTTTAGAAGCGGATCACAGGAGACAGAGCGAGACCTGATGAGAAACTCACCGACTCGACAAACCCCCAAAACAACACACACGACTGTCTGAAAATACAAAATACACTGTGTGTGTGTGTGATACTGGCTCTCACTGCAGATACATCACACTCAAGCGCTGACAGACATTCAGACCAGGAGAAAAACCAGACCACCTTTCCATCTCTCTCTCTCTCTCTCTCTCTCTCTGTCTGTCTCTCAACACACACAGCTCTGAGGAAACATGGTCTGATTTTCATTCTGAATCTGCATTAATGAATCTGTGCGTTTACCAGACACAATACTAATCAGAATATTGACAAATCCTGATTAATATCTGAATATTGATGAGCATGTAAATGTAGTCGATTAGCAAAATAGCCAGATATCATCGGATTCATCTTCCTGACTGATATATCAGTCCATCACTACTACACACTACATACATAAACAAACACTAGGGCTGTGCGATATTGAAGAAAAATGCGATATGCGATAACTCATTAAATAATGCGATAGTCGATATGCGATACGATAATGCTTAAAGTGCCACATGCTCAGATGAAACAGTTTTACTCAGCTGTTGCTGAGTCAGTTCTGTGAACTTCTATAACTATCTTGTGTCATATATATATGGTTATTTGTATGTATGTATCAAGAGCTCCCGTAAAACCACAAATTCCTAAAAAAAATGTTGTGCACACTTAAGTGGTGAATAAAGCTCATTCTGATTCTGATTCTAATAAGAAAGCACCCCTACAACAACTTCTGAAAGTGCAAATATTGCAAGCCGTAGCGATATGCATATTGCGATATGTACACTTGCGGTATTTCGATAATTTCGATATATTGCACAGCCCTAACAAACACAACAACATTGGCGTATGTTATACATTCGCGTATCTTGTCAGTGTCTGTGCTTGCTTGGCCATTTGTTGTGGAGAAAATAAGGAAAGTATGTTC